GTCTCCATCCAAAAAGGGGACTAAGTTTAAACCCCAGTGAGTGGAAAAAAGTGGTGGAAATGGAAATTAAAAATAAAATAAAAATGTAAATGACAGATTGCCTCGACAGCTCACGTGTTGGAGGAAGACTCTGGTACCCAAGTACTAATCAACATTTACAGATGATAAATTCAATTCTTTCTTCTCTTAAGTATTTTTCATGCATAGCATAAAAATCCCATTGTCCTTACACACCATCATAAATTTTACTATGATTCATTTTGTAGATTTGGCTCATGAGACCTGCTCAGAAAGACAAGTGTACCAGCCTCATGTAGAATATTGCTAATAGAGGAATCTTTACATTATAAGCAGGAGGTATCTTTTGCCTTCTGCTCAATTTTGTTGTGAAGTTAAAATATTTCTAAAAACTAAAGTTGGGTATATTGGAGCTATTTCTGAGTTTTCTGTTTCACTGATCTCTGTGTCTGTCTCTACAACAATACCACACTGTCTTGATCATAGTCACCATATAATAAGCCTTGTAGTCATGTATGTGATTCCTCCCACTATATACATCTTTTTAAACACTGGCTTAGCTATTCTATCCAACTTTCTGTGTAAGTTTTAAAATAATGCTATTTACATCAATCAAAATCTTGCTGTAATTTTGATAGGAATTATGATACACATATAAGTCAATTTACAGAAAATTGATATTTTTACAGTGTTGTCAATATAAAATATCAACTCTGCTTTGAGAAAAATAAGAAAATAGTTTATTCCAAGCCATATATGAATGGCCTTGTCTCAGAGACAGATTCAAGTTACCCAGAACAATATAGTTCCCTGTGGAAGTTATTTGGGCTTTTATATTCATAAAACATAGTAGGTGGAGTCATCAAGAAGGCAGACTACAATGATATGGGAAAATCTCTTCTATAGGATTAAGATGATGTCTTTAACAAAGTGAGTAAATCTGTTATAGGATTCAGATGCTATCATATTCTTAGCTTTAGGGTTGGTGGAGGCCAGAGTTCTACTAAGCTAAGTATACATTCCAGAAGTTTCATCTAATAGTCACAGAAATGCTAGGCCAGATGCAGAGGTTGGTAGTAAACAGCCATTAAAAAAACTAAAGGGCTGGGGTTGTAGTTCAGGGGTAGAGTGCTTGCCTAGCACAGGTGAGGAACTTGGTTTGATCCTCAGCACTGCATAAAAACAAATAAATAAAATAAATGTTAAATTCTTTTAAAAAGAAACTAAAGATAGCCCCAGTTAAACTTTGGATCTTAATGTACAATGTGCAATCTATTCACAATCCATCTCTCCACAATCACCATGATCACAATGGTTTAGTCAGCCAAGATCAGTTGGCAGGCTCTCAAATACAGACGAAGCTTCCTTGGAGAACTTCAGTTCATAGTGTCTCCTCTTCTGACCCTTGAACATGATATACCTTCCCATTTATTTTGATCTGCTGATTTCTTTCATTGGAGTTTTCTACATAAAGACTTGAACATATTGTGTTAGGTTTTTATTAAGAATTTCTCTCTCCTTTCTTTGAGATTTTAAATGGTATTGTATTTTTAATTTCAGTCTGCATGGGTTCACTAATAGTACATAAAAATACAGTTGACTTTTGTACATTGTTCTTGTGTGCCATGACCTTGCTGAACTATTTATTCATTCTAGGAGATTTTTTTTGTAGTGTCCTTGAGATTCTCAGTAGATAAAATGGTGGTATCAGCAAATAGGGACAGCTGTGTCTCCTTTCTTCTCCATGTACCTTTAGTCTCCTTTTCTTCCTTTATTGAAGTGGTTAGAAATTCCAAGTTTACATTGCTCCAGATAGCAGGAAAAAACAGTCTTTCACCAATCAATGTGATGGTAGCCATATGTATGTTTCTGTTTTGGGTTGGTTTTGGTAGATACTACTTATCAAGTTGAGAAAGAAACGCATGTATGTGAACACACACACACACACACACACACACACGCACTACATTTTTGTTTCCTATGGGGTTTTATTATTAAGTAGTATTTCATTTGGTCAAATACATTCCATACATCAATTAATATTATCATCTGACTTTTCTTCTTTAACCTGTTAATATGGTGGATTATATGGATTAATTTTCAAACACTGAATTAGCCTTGAATTCCTGGAATAATCCTTACTTGGTCACAGTTCATAATTCTTTTTATACATTACAGAATTCTACTTGCAAATATTTCATTAGGAATTTTCATGTCTAAAATAACAAAAAGAACTAGTCATACATTTTCTTTTTCCATATTATGTTTGTCGGGTTTGGGTATCAGGGGCTATCCCTCTCATTTCTGGAGGTGTTACCAATTTTGACCCCAAAGTATTTTTCCCTCTTGGAATTATGCATCTAATAACAAGAATGCATGCCATTTCAACAATGAAGTAAAGTTTTTTCTTGACCAAGAATAGAAGCAGGAGGAAAGGCTCACAGATCAGTTTCTTGGCCCATAGGAGTTTGGGAAGATATAGATATAGGGTAAGAGAAATGAGGAGAATGGGTAGGCTAATAAAGGAGGAGAATATTCATGTCTTTTCTGGGAATAAATGGAGATTTTCCAGGAACTTTAATGTCTCTTCTTTTTGCTCCTTTTATGGTTCCTTTTATTCATCATCATGGCGATTGTTAGCTATTGCAGATGGGGTTTATAATGAAGTTGTCCAGTGGTCACTCTGGCAGCCATCTTAGATCCAACCAGTTTCAGCTACCCCTCTTGAAGGAGAACTTCTGACCTTCAGGTTTCCTGTTCTCAAAGATAAGTAAGATTAAAGCAGTGTAGAAATTCAGTTAGGTCACCTAGGGGTACAAAATCAGGGAGGTGTAACATAAGAGACTGTAAAATTGGTTTCAGTTCCTTAAATACTTGATAGAATTCTCCAATGAAACCATCTGGGCCTGAAGGTTTCCATTTGGAGAGCTTTTATGTTTAATTACAAGTTCAATTTTCTTGATAGTAATGGGCTATTCAAATTATCTACCTCAGAGTGAGCTGGGGTACTTTGTGCTTTTCAGGGAATTAGTTCCATGTAAGTTGTCAAATTTACACGTAGACTTACATGTAGTTTTTTTCTTATTATTCTTATTATCTCTTCAGCATCTGTATCCATATCCTCTAACCTAATATTGGTAATTTGTATTTTGTCTCCTTTTTCATCATCAGTTTAAATGCCACCTCCTCCAAAAAGTCTTCCCCAAACTGTCCCCCGTGTCCTTCCAAAGCACATGAAAAGGTGCTCAACATCACAAATTATTAGGGAAATGCAAAAATCAAAGTGATATATCACCTCACACCAATTAGAATAACTACCACCAAAAAGTCAGAGAACCTAAGTGCCACTTGGTATGTGGAGAATTTTTAATAAAATTTTTAATTTAAAAAAAGAGTTCTATCGGATTTATTGACATCTGGTAATAACATATGGGGAAGCAAAACAATATGAACATGTGTTTTAAAACTATACTCTTGGCAAAGGATTCATTTAAAAAAAAAAAAAGCCTAGCTTAGCTTTATCTGTAATTTCTCACTTCATTGATCATTCTAATTAGAGACATTTTGTGGCAGAGTAACATTATCTCCTTTTAACATCATCCAATTCAGTTGTTTTCTTGACTTTTAGAATGACTCTCTCCTGTATCATCTAATACAAGTTTCACATTCTCATCAAAACCAGTAATACAGCCTTCTATCCTCATGTTCACTTGCTCATGGAGCCACACCTGAATCCAGGATCTGTTTCGTAAGTATCTGAAGATGAGGCTTTGCAGATGGGCTGCACCATCACCTTCTGCACTTTCTAGCCCTGGCCACAGTACACTTTGCTAGATTTTCACCAAGACCACACACCAACCAGCAAGTTACCTCAGAAAGCTAAAAAACGTTAACTCTTGTGCACTGCTAGAGGGAATATAAAATGGTGCAACTGGTAGAGAGCTAGTCAGTCATGAATGGGTAGCAGGAAAAGGACAATGAAAGGTAACTGAAAACCACAGGAAGCCTACCAACAGGCAAGTACCTGGAAGTGAGGGACCTGTTATGTCAAAACCTCCCCTAGCCATACTGACATCCCCTTAAGGAAAACTATTATTTCTTTTTTTGTTTGTTTGTTTCAACTTTTCTCTTTATTATGAGCTAAATTTAAGAAATCACTCTTTTCTTCTGATTTTATTTCCCACTTATTAAAAGGTCTAAATAACAATTAATGTATTTAGACTGAAAAGTACAAGAGCTGATATAAAATGGTCATAAAGGTTCCCATGGAATTCAAGTAACCGAAGAATAAATCCAGCCAAGGTACAAAGAAGAGCCCAGCCCAGCAGATGCACGATGTGCTGGTTTAATAGGGTTCTAAGAATGCCATCAAATGCACACAGTAAACCACATGTGTGGTGACAAGTCATAGCCTAAGAAATATTTCCTTGGTGTGATTCTTACCATTTTTTTTTTTTGGTCTGTGAGTTTCCTTCATTTAGTAACTTAGGGCTCCCTTTAATATTTCAACTTCAAAATAATTCATCGAAACAGGAGCCACTTTTATAGGTAAGATAAATCAGAGGATAATGTATTGGGATAGTTTTGTTCTTGTTTACAATCAAAAAGCCTTATATGATCAGGGATTGATGGGAGTGGGAATGACAAATGTACATTTCAGACTTTCATCAATAATGAAAAAAATAAAGCATTTTTATAGACTTAAAACTTGTCATTAGTGCATTTAGATTTTGAAGAAAGAATCAAAATGTAAAATACCTGCACAATAATACAATGTTAATAGAAACTGGCCACATACTGAGGCCATTTTTAGTGAGCTACCATTGTTTAAATATAAGAAAAGTAACTTCTTGGTCCAAATTAGTGAAAACTTAAAAAAGATTGTCTTTAGATAACATTATTTGAGGACAATTCTTTTTCAGACAGATTGTGATTTTCAAAATCACTATAACATAATTATGGATTAACCTTTAAATCACATCTTAAAAACCTGTCAGATTTCCATTTCTCCATGAGGTATTCTCACCACTGTGTTGTTCAATTCCACAGGATAAGCTTTCTTCATTATTATTACATAGTAGGGAGATTGCCATTCATTGCTTTATCATCTTTTCGAAAAGACACAGGCAGACTTGCTAGACTAAAGCTGACATCTTTAAAGGCATGCAACAAGAATATCCCCACATGATTGTGAAGAAGCCACTCAGAGTCCCAATGATATCATCAGCAGGCATATCTTGCCACTCCTTAAAAAGAATAGCTGAACAAGTTAAAACTGAGGTTGTAAAGAAAACGTAATATATTGGTGTTACAAGGGAAGTGTTGAATATGTCCAGGGCCCAGTTTAGGTAATTGATCTGTGTGCTCACACAGGTGACGAGGCTCAGCAGCAGAATCCAGGCCAGGGGATGCCACAGCACAGGCTTTCCAGCTAATAGTTCTTTGATGGTGATGCCCATGCCCTTTGCACAGGACACTGAAAACGCTCCAATCACAGAACAGATTGTTATGTACACAAGAGTATTTGTCTGTGCGTGGCGAGGTCCCACCACAAAGATTAATATCAAGGACACAATGACCACAATTGTTGCAAATAGCACAAAACCTGGATCACCTAACTTGTGTGACATTTCAATTAACGTCTCTTAATCTCCTCTTCCTTTGGAGCATGGATGACCATAACTGCAGATACTAGAATGCTTAGCAAACATCCAATTTTCCCATGAAGATTAAGTCTTTCATTTAGAGAGTATGAAGAAAGAATGGCACTTACAAGGATACTGAGAGCTCCCAGTGGAGTCACTAGCGTGGCTGGTGCAAAGGCATCTGCAGCGAAGTTGGCCACCTCGCCTGCCCCCATTGACAGTAGTCCAGCCCACCACAACCATTCTTTAAGATATGCATGGCCACCTTGACCTGCTCTCATGGGTCCTTTTCTGGCAAGTCGCAGAAGGCCTTTTTTTTTTTTTTCAAAATGAAACTCCCTCCTATGAAAATGCTGGAGGTCATAGCCAATCCCAAACCAATATAGAAATCATATTTTCCATGCCCTGGGCTCATTTCGTTTGTTACTTAAGAAGCTCCTGTGAATCACACTGATCACAGAACAGAAAAACTGCTGGCACTGAAGGCAGGGGGATGCCGTCTTCACTTATGTAAGTTTAATATGGTCTCTCTTTTGAAAACCAGGGATGATTTATTCATTCTCATTTTCTTGAAAATGCTACCCTTTATTTCCATCTAAAGTTTTTAACTTTCTGTTCCAGCCCAGGATGACCTCTAGCCCCACCGCGGCCGGGACCTAGGCCACCGCCGACGAGAACCTGGGCACGACTAAGTCAGGAAAACTACTATTTCAAGATCATGTCACACACTACCAGCTGGGCTAGACCTCCCTTATTATCAAAACTATCACAACTCCCAATCATCCAGGCAACCAAAACATTAAGACCCTCACAAAGAAAGCTTACTGAGGACTATTCAAAGGGTAATAAACCAATTAAATAGGCAGGAAATTGAGACCGAAACAGAGGGACTAAATTTCCTTATAACTCCAACTCTATAAGCGCCACACCATCCTCTCTTGGGAGTAGTCCATTCAGTTCCTATGTGGTCAGTCAAAAGTCAAAAGGTGGACATGGGCAGGACTCTCTGGAAACTTCCCTGGGTCCCCCAATAAAACTATTGGGCAGTTGGGGTATGCCATTCTTCTCTTCTCTGAAAGGACCCATTCTCTCCCTTAAGAATGTCCCCTTTTCCCTTTTCCTATCCCATCTAATAAATTCATGCCTGCTACTCTGAGCAGCATGTCTGAAATCTTTCTGGCATAATCACAAGAACCAATGATAAAGGATTGCTGCGACTTCCTCAGTTTCCCAGCAGGACCATGCCCTGTAACACAATCATGGTGGAAAACAGTAAGGTAGTTACTGTTAAAAATTTAAAAGTAGAATAACTATGGGATCCAGCCATGCCACTTCTGGGTATGTTCCCAAAAGCAGGAACTCAAAGAGCTATCACTATCCTGCATTCATGGTAATGGCATTCTGCCTACTTTTTTGCTCAGCACCTTCTGCCAACCCACTTCCTCTTCCCTTGATACCCAACCTATCCATGGGTTTCTTTCTACCATGCACAAGCATCCTCCATAATACTCCACCTTTCCTGCTTCCCACCCTAACAAAAGGCTTGGTCTCTGCCCACTCATCTGTCAGTCTCCTTGGAATGCACCCTCTTCTAAGACCCTCAAGCACCAAGCCTGTTCACATGGCGCAGTTTCTATTCACTTTTCAGCAAAGCATCTCCTGAGACACCCCCTCTCTGTGCCCCGTCACTATGCCAGTGGACCTGTACTCACCACACACACCCCAACATGGCCTGGTCTCTCATCTTGGCCAAGGGATGCCCCTTCCTCCCTGTCCCCCAAGTGTCTGCATGACCTGGGCTGTCACCTCCGAGCTCAATATTCTCTGCCTTAGATAACATGTCCTCCCTCCAATGCACACCCCTTAAATGCCATCTGGCCTCTCCCTCTCTTTCATCTCCAGTCTCCCCTGGGGTTTTTCCTTCCTCAACTCCTTCAGCATGGCCTGCCCTCTCTTCTTGACCCTCTCTAACCCTGCCTTTCCCCAACAAGTTTATGTGGCTCATTCTCTCTGCTCAACTATCACTTAAAAGATCCTTCGCTAAGCCCTCTATCTCTCCCTCCAACCTTCATGATTCTAGGGGGCTGTGCTGGTCCCCGTGCTCCATCAGTATCTGGGAAGCTCCCTTTCCTCCCACCACCCAACACTTCAGACAGGGAGTCCCTCCTATCAACTCTGCTGAATCATCCCTGCCCTATCCATATGGCCTGTTCTCTCCCTTGATTTTCTATCTAAGCTTCCTCAGGGCTCCTTCTTCCCTGGCCCCTCTCTTACTCCCTCCATAGAACTGGTCTCTACTCCCTTTTCTGCATTTGCTTCTTTTTAACACTCTCTGTCCATAGTTCATCCTCTCCAAGACCATCAGCATGGTCCATCACTGCCCTAATCCTTGTTGGTTCCCTCTCTTCCTGGCAAACTCCAAACCTGTCCACATAGTCTGGTCTCTCCCCTGTCCTCTCAACTCAAGCCCTTCTGGCATTCCTCTTCTGCCATGGACATCCCACCTAGGTACAGAGAGACTCCCCAAGAACCTAGGTGGGGCTGACAATGACAAGCCCTTTCTCCCGAAGTCCTGCTTCTGGAGCTGCCCAGGCACCATTTAAATCATGAACCTTGTTCACTGTGGTGGAGGAATTCAGTTCTACATCTTGAATTTTTACTGCCATTGCATCATATGTTGTTTTATTGTCTGCTTTGTTTAAGGACAAGTCTTAGAAAGAAAGAAAAATAAGAGGTCAAAAGTAGAAGACAACAAGTTAGATTCAAGAATATTGCCTTTTCATCAAAACAAGACACTGGAGGAGTCATCTGATGCCCTTGTCCCTGTTATCATGGGAAAGCATGCTGTGTCTCCTCAGGCATGCAGCTTGCTCTTCTCTCGTGTTGTTCCCTTAATTGCTTAAGGGACATTCTCATTTAATAATTCTTACTCTAGTGGTTTGCATATTTCTAGAAAACCACAGCTGAAATAATGAGATAAAGCAAATGGATTTCAGTTAGGGAGGGCTGGGAAATTTCTCATTCTTTGAGTCAAGTAGAAAGGGGAGACTTCCTTTCCAAATTCACAAAAACTCAATATATTCTATAGATTTTAGAGAAAAATCAAAAGTTCTTAGGAATCTTGGTAAGTTTTACATTTAATAAAATAGATATAATAGAACAAATAACATTTAGATCTACTGAGGGTTTCTCCCCATGGTTAATGTACCCACTTTGTTTTTCAGATTTCTCCCCATCAACAATGGGGAGTAGCCTGAAAAACAAGGCTTAACATCACACATGGTGAAGGTCTACTACAAATCTAAATTCCCTTTTTTAACTGTCTTCATGTACAATGAACATGTTGTTTTAAAGACCAGAACTCCTTAGGGGGGAAAAAAAAACATTTGAACAGAATTAAGAACATAACTAATGATGAGGAAGGATATCAATGCCTTCAGTGGCCCAGTGAGGGAAGGCCCATGTTAAAAAACCATGGTGTCTATGAAAAGACTGCTTATTTCCAGCCCCAACAAATCAGTCCACCAGCTTGAAGTACTGACCCCTGGAATGAATGCACAAGGATTCATGGCTCAGGAAGCCCCCATCCTGTGCTCTATTCTATCCAGGAAATGGAAGTCTCAAAGGGCAGCCTGGTGTATCCACACAGGTAGAGCTAAGCATAGAAAATCAGATAAAAACAAGTATGAGAAAGAAGCAGCTTTGCATCTGTCATGACTATAACCCTGGGTGATTATATTGTATCTGCTGAAGAACTGGTCTACCCAGGAGAACAAGCTGTTCTTAGAAAGAAGCCCTCAGATTCAGCTAAAGGAGACCTGGGGAGAAGTTAGAAGTTAGATACTGATCTGAAGGGTTCAGAAAGAAGACTTGTCACCCAAAAGTGGAGAGAATGAGTTGTCATCTTCTGAGTGTCCTCCCAGGCACCCAAACCTCAGAAGTATCTGTTTTAGTCAGCTATTGTGCTGCTGTGACTGAAAGATCTGAACAGAACAATTGTAGAGGAGGAAAAGTTTTTTTGAGCGCTCATGGTTTCAGAGGCCTTAGTCGATAGAAGGCTGGCTCCATTCCTCAGAGCTCAAATTGAGGCTGAACATCATGGTGGGAGAGGGTAGCGGAGGGAAGCAGCTTACATCATGGTGATCAGAAAGCAGACAGAGACTCCACTCTCCAGATACAAATTATATACCCCATAGAGACTCCCCAAATAAAACACTTCCTCCAGCCACACCCCACCTGCCTGAGTTATCACTCAGTTAATCCTATCAGGTATTTACTGATTATGTTAAGGCTATAACCCAATCATTTCTCCTCTAATTTTTGCATTGTCTCAAACATGTGAGATTTGGGGAGACACTTCATATCCAAATCATAACAGTATCCAACATATCAGAATGTGTGACAGGAACAGATGGAGTAGGCCCAGCCTCAAGAAGGGATGTGTCTAAGGACGACTGATAGCTCTTAAAGCCACTCTGGCCTCAAAAGAGCCAAGAGGTGAGTCAGCCAGCATAGAGATCTCCTGGATTTTATGAGGCCAGGCAGCAGAATTGACCAGCACACCTTCAAAGACTTGATGTCTATAGTCACAGATGCTACAGTAGCACAGCAAAGATCTCCTCCTGTAACTGTCGTTATTCACAGGCGGCAAGCTGTTTCATTTCTCCCCAAATACAGAAGTAAATTGATTTTTATTGTGTGAGAGCTTGGCCTTTGTTATTGAATTTATAAACACATAAAGGGCAAATGATTATGATTCACCTCAAAATGTTGGCTCTTTTATCACACAGGCACACATATAAAAAAAAGATGCTGAAAAATACAGACATGGATTTGGACTCTGGAGCTCGCTAGTTATGACACCAGAGTTTCTATAACCTCAGTTTCCTTGCCAACATTGAGTTAGTGGAATTGTTATATGGATAAATGGAGGTTCTTATTAGTCATGTAAAAAAAGCTATAGAGATGACACTGGTTATTCTAGTAAAATCTATAACACCAACTATATATGTTAGAATAATGACTTTTACTTCTATAAAACTTTTAAGATTTATTAAAATAGCCAAGAAATACGGAAAACACAATTTACAATTTAATATATTATGGAGTTGATGTTTACATCCCCTAAAATTGTATTGAAGCTCCTACTCCTCATGTGACCCTAACTGGAGGGAGGGCCTTTGAAGAGGTGATAAGGTTAAATGAGGTCACAGGGTGGAGCCATGACCCAATAAAACTAGTGTCCTATAGGAGGAGACACCAGTGAAATTGTGCTATTGTGTTTTCCACCATTTGAGAATACCTCATGAGGTGTCCATCTGAAAACCAAGAAGAGTCATCTACAGGAGCTGAATCTGCTGATCTCTTAATCCTGGATATCAGCCTCCAGAGCTGTGAGTAATAAATGTCTATTGCTTAAACAGTACTATCTGTGTGTTTTTTATTATAGCAGGCTAAGCTGACTAATATACAGCAATCATCACCATAATTCTAATATCTGTTACTGTATACATACATATTTACAGAAGGAAGGTTGGAGGAATACAGATACAAACATGGAAATGCTGCATAAATTCTTCTAGAAGCTAGAGGGTAGATAGGT